GTTTACAACTTCGTAGTTGTGTTAGTCGACTTCGTAGTCGAAGGCTTCGTAGCCTGCTCGAGTTTCCGCTCGAGAGTTTACAACTTCGTAGTTGTGTTAGTCGACTTCGTAGTCGAAGGCCTCGTAGCCTGCTCGAGATTCCGCTCGAGAGTTTACAACATCATAGTTGCGCTAGTCGACTTCATAGTCGCAGGATTCGTAGCGTGCTTGAGATTCCGCTCGAGAGTTTACAACTTCGTAGTTGTGTTAGTTGACTTCGTAGTCGAAGGCTTCGTAGCCTGCTCGAGATTCCGCTCGAGAGTTTACAACTTTGTAGTTGTGTTAGTCGACTTCGTAGTCGAAGGCTTCGTAGCCTGCTCGAGATTCCGCTCGAGAGTTGACAACTTCGTAGTTATTTCAGTTGATTTCATAATCATTGGAGAGTTAGCCGGCTACATAGCCGTTTTGAAAAATTCAATTTTTCAGGCAATCATAATAAAGTCGACGCATAAACATAAGAAACATAATTGGAGCATAAACTTTGAGATTCATTTCATCATTGAATTCAATTCAAATATTGTTCAATACAAAAAGTAGTTTGAAACATTGCCTTAAGCATAAAAGCGTTTGAGATAGATCACGAGCCAGGATCGTGGGAGTTGTCGACCTTCCCCGTCCTCGAGTTTGTATGCACCCCTCTTGAGCACCTTTGTGATGGTATAGGGTCCTTCCCAGTTAGCTTCGAGTTTACCAACATGTTTGAGAGCGTCGGCTCGCTTGAGGACGAGATCCCCAACTTGAAAACGTCTGGTTCGAACCTTCTTGTTGAAGGCTGCTCGCATCTTCTGTTTGTACTCGACGGATCGCACCCAAGCTTCCTCTCGTCCTTCTTTAACTAGGTCGAGGGCCTCTTCGATCATCTCCTCATTTTTCTTTTCTTCATAAATTGTCGACCTGTGAGAGTCTAGGCCGACTTCTACCGGCAGCAGTGCATCCATCCCGTAAACCATTTGAAATAGAGATTGTCCCGTTGAGCTTCTCGGTGTCGTCCTATAGGCCCATAGGACTGTTGTCAACTCGTCGACCTAGGCTCCTAATGCCTTCTCCAATCTCTTCTTCAACCCTTGGAGAATTGTTCGATTTGTTACCTCGACTTGCCCGTTTGCTTGTGGGTGTGCGACTGATGCAAATCGTTGCTTAATTCCCATGTCGAGACACCATGCTTGGATTTGTTTTCCTTGGAATTGCATCCCGTTGTCTGAGATTAACACTTTTGGAATTCCAAATCGACAGTAGATATTGTTGAATAAGAATTGTATCATCTTTTCTTCGGTAATTCGAGCCAAGGGTTGCGCCTACCCACTTGCTAAAATAGTCGACTCAACTACTAGGAATTTTCTTTGTCCCATCCCCATCGGCAACGGGCCCACCAAGTCGATTCCCCATTAGGCAAAGGGAATTAGGGAGCTGATTGTCGTCTCGGCTGGAATATGGGTAACTTGGTCGTGTCGTTGGCATTTATCGCATTCTTGCACAAGTTTTTCTGCCATCATCCTCATCTTGGGCCAATAATACCCTGCTCGCAGTGCTTTACCCATTAGGGCTCGAGATCCCATAGGTGCTCCGCAACATCCTTCATGGATTTCTTTTAGAACATGAATTCCTTCTTCTTCGGAAACACACCGCAAATGAGGCCCGACTAGCGACTTCTTATATAGGATCCCGTCAACTTCTAAATACTTGCTTAAATATCGAGCCATCTTTTCTGCCTCTTGCTTGTCTCCTGCAGGGACTCGACCCTGCAAGAGTTCGCGAATCGACTTCCTCCAATCATCCTTTTCATCGACTTCCATTGCCTCATTTAGAACACTTCCTTCCAAGTGCATTGTAGTGATATGATTTCCCACCTTCTCTTCGTTTGAGCTTGCAATCCTTGCGATCCAGTCGGCTCGTTTGTTTTCTTCTCGCGGGACTTATGTCAATTCAAACTTCTCCAGGCCTTGTATGAGGCTACTTCTAAATCTGAAGAGAACCGATGGATTTGAGCTCAGATCTGCTTGAACTGCCTCTGAATCGTTGCTAGACCGCGAGAATACCTGCAAAAACTCAACGCCGGAGGTGTTTCCGGCGTAGAGCCTCCGACGCTCAAGTCAGTATCAGAGAGATGAAGGGATGCTACGCAGCAGCTATGAGGAGTGTGTGGAATGAATGAAAGTTAGGGTTTAAGGTTACCTCATCTCCTTTATATAGGAGTGAATACTTACTTGAAGTACCCGAAATGCCCAAGTCGGTGGATCTAAAAGGTCCAAAATGCCCCGGTCGGTTCGTCTCCTCTTGCTGCTGAGTCATCACAAGATTCTCCTTTATCCCTTGAAAGATGTAGAACTTCAAGTGTGATGAGTCGTCATCACATCTTTGGTTCTCGAGGCGTACTGAGTCGGCCTCGAGAGCTAGGAGGTCGACTTATGATCATATGAGGATTTGGAGGCTACGCTTGGTTAGTTCCCTCGAGTGGAAGTCGTCTTTAAGAGAATTGACTTAGTGAACTCGACTGCTGGGAGTCGACTCTGGGTATCTGAATGCTCGGAGATTACGCTCTTATTGTTCTTATGCAGGTGTCGACTATTGAAAGTCGACATACTGAGGTCGACCTGAGAGAGTCGACTGGCCAGACTTCCGCCTCTTCACGATCGTTCTACGTAGAGTCAACTTTGCGGAAGTCGATTTGAGTATGTCGATAGGTAATCTTATTGTTAATTTTTGTTTATATATCAATCATTATATTTTTAAGAATCGCGGAAATATATTGTATTTATAGAAGGATTATGAAAGATAAAGTTTCACACAACATACTAAAGATGCAACAACTATATTTTCTTTATTATATATCGCAATTGTTAGTTTACCTTTTATTATTTTAAAGTTATCTATTATAGTTTAAATATTTTATTCTTATTATTTTTCATGAATTTATCAAGTATTTTAAAAAATAAGTTAAATTACAATTATCATAAATTCCATGGAAAGTAAGTGTTGGTGTTGACCTAACATTGACGGTTATCATCTTGATTGTTTCATTAATATGATTTGGAAGTAAAATATCTTAAAAGTCTATAAAAAAAATATAATTTGATATATAGACATAATTTTTTTTTTTACTATTTACATTTAGATGGACATACATTGTCATAGTTTGTATACAAAATAAAAATTAAATGATTTTGTATTCAAACATGACACGAAGATAGGTTTCGTTTATGGGTAAGCGATAGAGTAATAATACGAAATGATATTGTGAAAGGAGAAAAAAAATGATAACAGAAAGAGTGAGAGTATCCCGACCATAAGAAAGAGGGAAGAGTAGGGCATAATTTTTATTTTAAAGACTACGTAAGAAAATATATATTTATAATTCTATTATTCAGTGACAATCTATATTGTACAAGGTCTTCTATATTGATTTCGGTCCCAATTAATTAAATAATTTGAGACAAAAATATATAACTATTTAATTTAATTTATTTTTAGTCAGTATCATTTGTTCTATGTAGGTGTAAAATTTGAGGTAATCTAACAGTTTGTTATTAAATAAGCTATCATCATTATAACTTTTATCGATCTTCAATTATGTAACTGTATTTTTTTATGAATAAAATAACAATATTGTGTTCAACTACTTTTTTCTTATCATATATCATTAATGTTCGTTTCATCAAAATAATTTTTATTATTTTAGAATTCATGTAATATAATTTAAATGCGTTTTCCTTATTACTCTACCAAAATTCGGTCAATGTACATTTCTAAATTTATAGTAAATTAAATTTCTGATGATTTCCAAGTGAAAAACAAGCAATATATTATTGAATTGAATATTTAACGATTAACGAGTCTATCTGTAATTTTACTAAAAATGATCCATTATGCACATCATTCTCATATCGTCATTACACTTATTTTACTAAAAAATGAGTTATTGATATTTTTTTCTAATAAAAAACAAAATATGTGGGTCTAATTTAAAACTAAATACATGGCCATCTTTGTGTTTTTTTTATTAAGTATTCAATTTGTGTTTCTTAATTTAAATTGACTCATATATGTTAACATTAATTATATAACAATTTATTTGTATAATAGTAACAATGGATTTATTTTGTTCGAAGACGATGAAAACTATTTTATTAAAGAGACAATTTTATTAAAAAGAAATCAGAGAATTAATATGACAAATACTTTATTCTGTTGAATATCACATATATATTTATTTTTTTAAGGTTAATGAATTTAATTTAAAAAATTTGAATGAAAAACTATATTCTATTTTTTAATCACATACAGCCATACATTGTTTTTGTTTCTAGAGTTATGGATTTTTTTTAATGAAAATTTTAAGATGTGATAAATCAAAAATTATTCTACTTTTGAATGAATAAATTTTTATTTATTTAAATTATTATCTAACTACATCACTTATAACATCAGGCCGCGCATCGCGCGGGTAGTGTATTAGTATTGAAATAAAGTATGGCGTACTATTTTGTTTAATTAGCGGGAAGAGCGTATCTTATGTCATGAAATCGTAACCTGTGCCCGCTCTCTGCACAACCTAATTTTCAATCTAATACTAATATTGCTGTGAGTCCTTTGGTGTCTACATCAAAAACATCAATTGACGACAAACAAGCATCAGTTGACGACAAAGGTGGAGTCTTGCAAGCACTTGATCCTCCCCACAGTCCCACCCTTTATTATATTCTCTCTCTCTCCTCTTTCCTTTTCAATTATTATATATAAATAAAAAAAAAAGTTAAAAAAATAACCTCTTGATATACTAAAGCTAACGGATAAACAACCCCTTCTTCACCTACACTTGACTCAAAGTAGCAGCACAACACTATCACACAAGCCTTTCCCTCTCTCTCTATATATACATCCCCAAGTTGTTGTCATACTCCGACAGATAGATTATTACAACAATATCACATCGATCACTTTTCAACAACTCTCTCTCTCTCTCTCTCTCTCTCTCTCTCTCTCTCACTACACTACTTGTCTTTACTTGTCCAGTACACACTACTCCATGCTTTTCTCGATGGGTTACGAAGAGGAGGCAGGGGAGATGTATTCCTTCGCCTCCTCATCCCCTGCTTCAGTCGATTGTACTCTTTCCCTTGGTACACCTTCCACTCGTGTCTACAATCACAATCACAACGACACGAAGCGGTCTACCTGCACCCGCAACACCATGCCCTCTTCCGCGTTCGGCTGGAACATCCTTCCCTCCAAGCACACGCACGCGCACGCGCCGCCCAAGCCCCACCGCCACGACCCTCTTCTCGCCCGCCGCTGTGCCAACTGCGACACCACTTCTACTCCCCTCTGGAGGAACGGTCCACGTGGACCTAAGGTAACTTTATTTGATACACAACGTAATTAATTAATAACTCATATTATATATATTAATTAATTGGTGCGCGCGTGCAGTCACTGTGCAACGCGTGCGGTATCCGTTTCAAGAAGGAAGAGAGGCGGGCGACGGCGGCAGCCGCCCATGGAGAGACGACGTGGCCTCAAACGACGGCCCCTTGCTATTCTTCCCCTTATGCCGGGAATCAAGAGTTCCGTTTCGTTACTTTCGTTGACTAGAATAATCATGACTCCCATAATCCCATTCTATATCTATATCCACCATACATCACTCTACAAAACAAGCTCTCTATTCGTTTCTAGTTTTAGGGAAAAAAAAAAAAGAAAAAAGAAAAAAGAAAAAAACCAAATCTAATCTTTTTATGTGATGTCATCATGATCATCTATAGACCTCTTCCCTTTTCAGCTGTTATTATTATTATTTTTTTTTTGGCTTCGTCATCTTAATTTATACAGGTAGATCAGATGGAGTGAAAATCATGATGACTTACTTGTATTCACATCTTTTATTATTTTGTTTTCATCAACTTTCAATTTCATTTTGCTTATTATTGAAACTGTAGTTTCTGTTTAGGACTACCTTTTTCTGTTCATCTGTTTTAAGTTGTGTAACTTGCGACACCTCCTATTTGTTATATGAATAGTTAAATCTGGTTAGTTCAATATTATAATGTATGCATTAATTAGACTCTGCTTATTTGTAAACGGCCTCATGTACACAATGAATATCGCGCCTCACTTTACACGTCCCATTCTTATTCCGATCGAAACTGATATTGTTATTATTACTGGTCTTAACACCCGTGTGTGACAACCAACTTGCCAAATGATAACATTATTTTAATATTTGTAGGACTTAGTGAAACTTTTGTATAAATCGAAAGGATTAATTACAAAAGCGACGCATATAATAGCGCAATGATATATTGCTTCACCAATATAATATTTTTAATTACATAATTGTGTAGATAATAAATTTTAATTTCGTTGGATATTTTTCATGTGTTTAGCAATGTGGTAATAACATTCAATATATGAATGTTAAAATTTTCACGAATTAAATATGAAGAGTCTATTGCACTTCGGGTATAGCATGAATTGCACAATATTTGTTAAAATTTTATGTACCTAAATATTCAAATTTTCACACAAAGTCTAAAATTTAAATATGCAGCGGAATAAACGAATATAAATAGTTAAAAATTAACATAAAAGTGAGAAATATTTGTATATTAAAGTAACATGTCAAAATATTTCACTGGAAGAAAAATTATACAATCAAATACTCAAACACAATTAATGAAATAATAAAAAACACTAATTTGAAGATTCAAACTTTCAGACACGAATTTATCGAATATGAGTTCATAATAAAATAGATTAACAAAGTAAAATTGATAAACATAGTTCTATTATGCCATCTCATGAAGAACCAGGTGCAGGTGCACCACCATGCAAAGCAAAACTTCCCCATGCAAAGACAAAAGACAACTCATCCTCATTTTGAATTGTTCACCTTGTACTTTTTACTTAGGCCATATTATTTATCTATCCTAATCCCCTCCAGGTTTTATTCTAGTCCACACATATATATTGATGTATAAGCTACCCGCAGCTATTAATTCATAGTGAAACACAATATTTAAGAACATCATTATTTCTGGTTCATGTTAAGAATGTCAATGCCTTTCTATTTTCTGATTTTGATGCTTCAACATGTTATCAGAGCCCCAGGATAAAATCTGGGGTCTGATCTATCTTTTTCACTTCATTTTCTTTTGCTCATCTCTGAAGTCCCTCAACCATGAATCCTCTTCCTCAAAACATCCCTGCAATCATACAACCCCAAAGCCAACTTATCACAGTTAAGCTCACTGAAACTAACTACCTGATATGGAAGCAACAGGCCTTAGCAGCTATCCTTGGCTATGGCTTAGAGGGGTTTATTGAAAGCTCGGTTAGAAGACCAGAACAATACATCCAAGGAGAGGATGGTCAAATCATCATCAACCCCGACAGGATCAATTGCTGTTTTCCTGGATTCTGTCATCTCTCAGTGAGTCTGTCCTAATATCCACTGTTGGCTTAAACTCATCCAAAGAAGTTTGGGAAGCTCTGGAAAGTAGTTTTGCAACTCAGTTAAGGGCCAAAGTCATGCAACACAGACTTCAACTTTCGACATTGAAGAAAGGAGACATGCCTATGAGGGAGCTTATCAACAAAATCAAAACTTGTTGTGATATGCTCTCAACTGCAGGACAGAAAATCATTGATGATGAACACATCTCATACATCCTCACAGGGCTACGTAGTGACTACAACTCAGTGATGGTCACTGTAAACTCAAGGGTGGAACCATACACTCTTAGAGAATTTCATGCTTTGTTACTGAGCTTTGAGAGCAGACTTGATGGGTTAGACTCAAGTGTCCTAAATGGAGTTGACGGCTCTATGCCAAACATTAACTATGCTGCACAAGGAAGCAAGAGAGGAGGCTTCACTTAAACCAACAGAGGTCGAGGTAACAACAACTATTTCCAAGCTGGTAGAGGAAATAGAGGGAGAAACTCATATGGAAGAGGAAGAGGAAGATCAAGTAACAAACCAGCTTGTCAGATTTGTCACAGAACAAATCATACTGCAGAAAAATGTTTTTATAGAGCTGATTTGAGCTATGTTCCCAACATAAACACTACAGGGCAAGGGAACCAAATTAACATGGCTCAAGTTCACAATACCTCTACCCCTTCTGTTAGCACTGCAGCAAGTGTAGCAGATTCAAACCAAGATCATCTTTGGTTTCCTGATTCCGGGGCCACCAACCATGTGACTTATGATTTTGCCAACATGAACATAGCCTCAACCTACCATGGATATGACAAAGTGCAGCTAGGAGAGGGTTCAGGTCTGAAAAATCTCTCACATTGGCTCTTCTATTTTAAGTTCACAAAATGTTGATGATCATGACTTTCTTCTTGATAAACTTCTTCATGTGCCTCATATCACAAAAAACCTCATTAGTATGTCTCAGTTTGCCAAAGATAATCATGTCTTCTTTGAATTTCACCCAACTTTTTGTCTTGTGAAGGATCAAACATCAAATGAAGTCTTGCTGAGAGGGAAACTTAAAAATGGCCTTTACACTTTCAACTTGACCTGCAAGAATGAAGACCAAAGTTCATCTGTTTCCAAGAGTAGCTTTATTTCTGCTTTCAATAATTACCTTGTTCAACCTGAAACTCCTGTTACTGATTCCAATGCCAAGAACAATTTCAAATTATGGCATCGTAGGTTAGGACACCCCTCATTTGATGTTGTTAGGAGGGTTCTTCATGAATGTAATGTTCCTTTTGTTTCCAATGAAATGAATGATCTTTGTGGTTCCTGTCTTACGAGCAAAAGTCATCAACATGAAATGAATGATCTTTGTGGTTCCTGTCTTAAGAGCAAAAGTCATCAACTGCCCTTTTCTTTGTCTAAATCTGATCATTATGACATTATTGAACTTATATACATTGACTTGTGGGGTCCTGCTCCCACAAAGTCCAAGCATGGTCATCTTTACTACATAAGCTTTATTGATCACAAGTCCAGATTTTGTTGGCTATTCTTTCTCAAAACTAAATCAGAAAGTTACCTCACCACAGTTCATTTCATTAATATGCTGGAAACTCAGTTCAACAGGAAAGTAAAATTTTTACAAAGTGATGGAGGCACTGAGTTCAAACCTTTGTCCAACTTCTTCCATGATAAAGGGATCATCCACAGGCTATCTTGTCCATATACCCCTCAACAAAATGCGGTCATTGAAAGAAAACACAGACACATTGTTGAGTTGGGCCTTGCTATGCTATCCACTGCCCACATGCCTAAATCCTTTTGGCATTTTGCCTTTGAAACTTCAGTCTTTCTCATCAACAAACTTTCCAGTAAACAGCTTGACCACAAAACCCCTTATGAAATCCTTCATGGTCATAAACCCTCATATCATAACCTCAAAACATTTGGATGCCTTTGCTTTCCTCACATGAGACCTTATAACACAAATAAACTTCAAGACAGATCCCAACCAGCAACCTTTATTGGCTACAGCCTCCACCATAAAGGATACAAAGCACTGCTTCAAGATGGAAGAATTTTGATAACCAGAAATATCATCTTTAATGAAAATCTTTTCCCATTTCAGACTATAATACCAACACCTTATTCCACTCCTCTCACTCAATCCAACCACAATTTACCTTCTGGTCATATTCCCATTCTCCCTAACCAAAACATTAACCCTCCTCCACCCCCAGATATACCATCTCCACCTCCACTCACTAATTCTCCTCACCTTCTTCCTTCAGCTAACACTCCAACTACCACATCTTCACATCACACTCTACTTACTATCTCCTCTAATGATCATCATTCTGAATGTGAACTTTTTGTAGACTTGCCAATTGAGACATCATCAGTTCCTACTGATTCCACTAATGACAGAAATCAAGTTGTTGCAGGTCACCATGGCATGGTTACAAGATCAAAGACAGGTAATTTGAAGCCTAAAATTTATGCAGTTGTCTTACAAAACAATATTGAACCAAAATCCTTCATTGATGCTCATAGTTCTCAACCATGGAGAGAAGCCATGGAGAAGGAATTTAATGCATTGCTGAGAAACAGTACTTGGACACTTGTTCCCTTACCAAAAGATAAGGGAGTTGTCAGCTACAAATGGATTTATAAAATGAAGAAAAATTCTGATGGCAGCATAGCTAGACACAAAGCAAGACTTGTTGCTCGAGGTTTCACACAACTAGCTGGCCTAGATTACACTGAGACTTACAGCCCAGTTATGAAGCCATCAACTCTCAGAATTATTCTATCTTTGGCACTGGCTCACAAATGGCACATTAAGCAGCTGGATATTGATAATGCTTTCCTCAATGGAGATATTGATGCTGAAATCTACATGGAGCAGGTCCCTGGCTTTGAGAAAACTAACATCAATGGCAATCCTTTGGTTTGCAAACTCAACAAGTCACTGTATGGGCTTAAACAGGCTTCAAGAGCTTGGAATTCTAAGCTTGCTCATGTATTGAAGTCTTTTGGTTTCAAGAATTCCATTGCTGATAACTCTCTCTACTACAAACAGGACAAAGCCTCTTGTTTAATTATCCTTACCTATGTAGATGACATCATTGTCACTGGAAGCTCCAACATTGCCATCTCTTCTTTCATTCAATCATTGAACAACACATTTCCTCTCAAAGACCTTGGAAATCTTCATTATTTCCTTGGCATTGAAGTGCTTCACACTTCAACTGGAATTTTCTTGAACCAAGAAA